TTAAAGATGCCTGCCCAAGGCTCACTCCTCATCCACGACGGGATAGAAGCAATTCTTGCAATATCCGTGATAGACGATACCATCTGCAACAATGGGAATAAAACCCTGAGTACAAGAAGGTACTTAGCTAGACTTACCCATCATAAACCAGAAATAAATTGTATCCAAGGATTATGCAGGGCTTTATAAGTGGAGGTAGCTGATAACATTTTGCATAAAAAGTGATTAACAAAATTATACAATTATACTTCGGTCATCAAGTTAATTATAGCTATTCATCTCTAGATTATCAACTATCCTGTGTCAAACATGTGGTATATCATTTTAAGAGCATACAATAGTAACCATAGCTGGTGTAGTAATTCCATCTTTATCCAAACCATCACATTTCATAATACAATTACTACGATGTTGGGGCTAGCCAAGTTTCTCACTTTCCGGGAGAGATGATGATTCGAATCGATTTCAACCAGCTGGGAATTTATTCCTAACACAAACCCAGGTAGACCAGATCAATAGTCACCTTAGGTCACCTTTGGTACAACTCAAGTCCACATTTCATGGGTTTGCCCAGCGCCGCACAATCAGGGACAACCAGCTGCCAGGATGTTTAGGCTCGACCTGCCCTTGGGCTCACGTCTGGCTCCCCGCACATCCTTACTACCATCTAGAGTGCGCACTTTGATACAGCGGGGCCTGGCTTGAGTTGAGCTACTCGGCTTTGCGGTCGGAACGAGTTATCCGACCAGCTAAGTGATAGGCATGCGTTCAATCTTGTTCAAATGTGCCAACAATGGTACGGTGCTTAATCGGCACAGACGGAATCACATGAGTCCACCTACACATAGACTCTGTCCGGCCTCCATTTACATTACCCCATGGTTCTTTTCCACGATAGCAAATATAGCCAACCATGCTTCGGTATCCACCTATATCTCGCAGGTGATAGGAAATCACCCAACTTTTAACGGTCTAAGCATGGCTAAGCATATATTCGATCCTGAACCTACACAGGGTTAAAGGTGTATATATCTGGACATGGTAGTTCTATGCATCGTGTTTCCAGTCAACTCTTATAACCTAATGCATCAATCATAAAGGACTCAAGTAATATTTTGTAAAATATTAGGAGACTTAAAATGCTCCGGGGCTTGCCTTTGAGAAAGGAGGTGGGGGCGGTGATCAGGGCACTCGGGAAGCTCTTCTGGAGTCTGCTCCTCTTCTTCAGGAGCTGCGGCTTGAGGATTCTCCTGCTGATCTCCTTCCTCTTCTTCATTGAATTCCAGCAACGTTATCTCCTCGGTCGATCCTATATGCATGAATATGGCATAAGATATAGCGAATGCATGTATGATGACACATATAATATGATAAAACATGATGAATGCATCCTTATAAGTATTTTCAACAGCATGGTGCCAAAGTAATAACAAGTGCGTCCTATTCTATTGAGTAGGTGCATATCTCTTATCTATTATTTAAGCAAACACTTCTGCAATTCATTTACCGAACTACAAAACAATAGCTAATTGTTTTAACTATAACTGGAGTTATATACATCACAATCATATGGTTGTGGACATTCTGGAAATCTTATGAAATTGTTTACAACTTTCTTTTAATACTCTTAAGGTGATTCAATAGTTATCTAGGTCAAACAATTCAGTCAAACAAATCTATCTAGAGAACAAACAATTAGGACAGCAAAATTCTAACAGCCAAAACTCTTAAACCCTAAGGCCTATGACTATGAAAATTTAACACAAGATAGATTAGTAAGTTATCTACAACTTTGTTATTAACAAGTTTTACAGCAAAGATTATTATCCACATGAAATCATCCACACAATCAAAACTATACATGCAATCATCTATTTGAATTACAAAGCAACAATTAATTAGTTGCATACAATCACTTGCTTCTAAGCCTTACTATGAACATCAACAGTTACTAGGCATCACAAGCACTATAGAAAGCATCATGGGCAATCACAATTTAATTACTTAAATGCCTTTATTAAATTAATTAAATAATTAGGGGAAATAACAAACATACACCAAATGTGCACAATAAATTCTCATAAAATTAAAGTAGCTTTATAGTACTCACAATAGGCTACTATGAAAATTTCATACCATTTGCACATGTATAACATCCCATACAAAAATGACAAGCTAGCAAGGTCTATTTTTGTGAAAATAGTAAACCCTATAGAAAAGTGTCAAACAATAGATCATATATTTTTTCTAGCTTCATATTAGTGCCATACTACTGTACAAAAATTGGCATAGAAATATGTTACATATTTTTATCCCTACAATTTTCTTTAGAAAATACCATTTATTAATAGATAAATAGAAAGATCATATTTTAATCAAGTTTACTGCAAGCTTAGTATTTTTCCTAGCTTGAGCATGTCAACACAAGACTAGAAAAATTGGAATCACAATTTTATCACATTTCTAGCTCAAGATACATAATTTACAAGATTGCAAACATTCAAAAAGCATTTATCTAAATACATTTTAATCACCATAAAAAATACTAGAACTGTACATTTCATATTTTTACAAAATACTACACTTCCTAAGGAACACAACAAAATTTGGTTCACCAAAAATGGACATCCCTAGCTCAATATATCATTTGCTAAAGCTAGCTCAAAAATCTGGAAAACAAATAACACTAAACCCTAACTGCAGTCGCTGACAGAGGGGTCCCACTGGTCAGCGGGGTCCACCCGTCAGTGAGCCGAAAGTAGGGCATGGTGGTCCACCGGCGTTATCTCGCTGATGGTGAGATCTTCGGCGAAACTAACTGCACCAACGTGATCTACACATCAAATCGCATCGAGTGACCTAGGTAGTGGAGGCGCGGACGCAAAGGAGCCACCTCGTCGCCAACCATGGCGGCACAGCGGCGCTGCGTTGCGGTACACCGGTCGTTGCAGGCCACGGCAAGGCCAGGCGAGTAGCGCATAAGAACCATGGTGACGACGTGACCCTATTGCAGCTACCTAGGCTAGGCAAGGTGCTCCGATGAGCTCTGCCCGCATGCACGGTGGCGCGGCGGTGAGAGCACGGCGGCATTGCGCGTCGTGTTTCACGCCGGCGAGACATCCATTCGCGGTAAGGTCATGCCACTAGCTAGTATACAACCTGACGAAGCTCTAACGCTTAGAATCAAAAGCAATGCACAAGCAAGCCAAGCAGCGGTGAGCTCGCCATGGAGGTGGCCATGGGAGCCGAGCTCTCCGGTGAGGACAGAAATGGTGATTTCACCCTTACCATAGCTCGTCCAGTGCTGCAACCATGTTGAGGAGGTAGAGAGGAATAAGGCACAACTGTGGGTGAGATGGAGGTAGCAATGGCGTGGTGGAGCGGGCGCTAGGCGATGGTGGAGCGGTGCGGGTGCTCGGCGGCGCTCGGCTTTTCCGCGGCGAGAGCGAGAGAGAGCGCTGGAGAGTGAGGAAGTGAGCGCGTGAGTGCAAGAGAGAGGGTGCGTGGCTTCGTAGATAATGGGCGCCAGGGTCATAGGCCAGTGGCGGCCAGCTTCTGCGCCTAGTTGACCACCTCGGCGTGTGACGCTGCGTTCATCGGTTGACTGACAGAGCAAATTCCAGGTGCTAATTCTCTCGATCCATGGTGAATTAGTGCATGGTGTTAAAACCAAACTTGTAGAGCTATGTACCAGCTACAAAACTTCTTTAGAAATTAAAGTCTAATTCTCAATGGTTAGGGAGTTAGATCATCACAAAGTCGAGCCTATCAAACGGTAAAGTCCAAAGACAGCAAAATTTTCCTAGGTGCTGAAAATAGTGAAATGCTGATTATTGTGAGCCAAATTCAAGCATGTTAGGAGCCGAACTAGCCTATGGCCCAAAAATAAAAGTTGTTCCTCTCATCAAATACTACAACTTTGCTTTAGTGAACACCTCCATGCAAAGTCTCTATGACATAGTTCAAACTAGGTCAAACATACTACTTTCAAATAATGGCTTACACTTAAACTATGCCTTAGTGACCAAACTAGCCCTAGCCATGAATACCAAAGTTGTTCATAATGACATTCTAAACATGTTTAAGCTATTCCTAAGGTCACACAAGCATTTCATACATTGGTTACATATTTTACTTCCTAGGTTAACCAGCATATCATCACTCAGGAGCTTAATTAGACAAAGTGACCTACATGAACATTGTTCCATTAGTCAAGCTAGGGTGTTTTAGTGACCAACATCAACCACTTACACTCATTCACACATGGTCATAAGCATACACTTAAGGAAACATGAAATAACAAGGCATGTTTCACATGTAAAAGCTTATATATGAATGCTTGATGCTTATGCTCATGCAATGCAAGTCAAATTATGCAAGCCTAACACCTAGGGTGTTACAAGAATGTTAATCTTGACTAATGATTTATGGAATCCATATAAAAAGGTGCTTTTTGGAAACATGGATAGAAGGGGGATAGAGCATTGAGCCTTTCTAGGTGCTCTAGTCTGCCCTTCGTAAGGACTGATTTAAAGCGGCAACCTAGGACTTACAGTATAGCCACAAGAACTACATGGCTCTAGTCTTAACCTAGTATCTTGATCTGTTCTAGTTCGTCAGTAGCTTACTGAAAGGACAAGACGGGGGCACTAGTTGGTATGTTTCTTTTCCTGCCAGGGTGTGTACTATGCGATGACCATGAGTGCCACTCCTGGAGGAGGGTTGCATACGACTAGACGGCTGAAACCTTAGCGGTTGCTACTTATCTCTACTATAATTGAAAACTTGAGACTCATCACGGAGGCTTCAACGCTCCCGTTCGTATAAAAAGGAAACAAACGCCCTCCTCGCGCTCCTCCTCCCCCACATCCTGCCTCCCTCCTCCTCTCCCGTGCCTCTCCCGCCTCTCCTCCGTGGACACCTCACCGCAGGCCGCGTCCTCAAGCTCGATCCCGCCCCCGGCCTCTTCGCCGTGACCTCCCGCCCCATCGACAGCAGCGATGGCGCGCGGGGGCTCCCCCACGCACCGTGTCCGCGTCCTCGTCCTCCCGGGCCTCGCCGTGGGGTCCTTGTCCTTCCGCCGCGTCCTCTCATCGCTCTCCTCCCGCGGCGTCCACGCCACGGCGCTCGACCTCCCCGGCCAGGTCTCTCCCGGCGCCCCCCGTCGTGCCCGCGCCCTCCCAGACAAGCAGCGCTCCGGCGATCATGGACCGTGGCATCTTCCACGCCGAGCACCTCGTGCAAACCGGGCGAGGTCCCGTACCAGAGGAGGCGCCGCCAGCCGCCGCCCCGAGGTCTCCGCACGCGCCCGACGAGGGTGGCCCCGGCCGTCGCGTCGCGCCGCAGAGGCGCTTCGGCCTCGGCGTGGCACCCGTCCACCTCGTGCTCCACGACACCGCGCTTCGCGGGGCGGGCCGTGAAGCGTGTCGGCGGCGACCGGGGGCGCGTGGCGGGCGCGTGACACTGGTCGACGCCGCCCGCGTGCTGCCGGCGTTCCCGGCTGCCGCGGTCTTCGACGTGCCCATCTTTGGGAGGCTTGTCTTGCTGCTGGTGCCGGGCGCTGTTCATGGCTTCTTGTCAGGCTGTCTTGCGCGCCCGGGGTTGGCGCCGAGGAGGCAGAGGCGCACGGGCAGCAGCGATGTGGGGGGAGGGAAGGCTAAGGGGTGGTTGAGGCATGGAAGGCGATGAACCACAACTTTTGGCTTGGGGAGTGGAGGGGTTCTTCGGAGGAGGTGAGGAGGCTGCCGATGCTGGTGCTGTGGTCGGGTTCTTGGTCAGACATGTGGATCGATGAGGGGAAGAAAGTGGCGGCTGCATTGCCTGACGCCAAATTTGTCTACCATTCCGGAGGCCGATGGCCTCAGGTCAGTGTGGTGATTTAAATTTACTTGATAATTTCGTCTTATTCCTTATGGAGAGAGTGAGCTTAGTTGGAATTGAGCTTGAACAAAATGTTATACTGCAAATAAATTTCCTAAATTTTGGAGATGGTCAACATTGGGCACGCCACAACTTTTCCAGCTTGTTATGAATTTGTCAGTGAAATTTCTTTTATTTTATTTGCTTACTCACTACCAAATGTCCCTGTATTTCTGTTTTGTCAGATATGGGAATTTGAATATAGTTGATTTCTTCTTAGTTTTTCATGGTACATAAATTTTATCAAAATCCACAGAATACCATCGTTAGCACATTCAGAACTTTCTACTTGTGCCTTGCTTATAGGTAACTTACCACCCACTGGATGTTCTCCGGCTCAGGCTAGCAGTTCAATCTGGACACAGCACTTTATCTCAAGTAACCACTCTTGTAAGTGCAATTTTTTTTTTTTTGGAAACTGGCAAAGCCTGATAACTTTTTTGGTTGCTCTTAACATGCTGAGAGAAGAAGGGCTGGCCTCCTATGGAGGCTTGGGTCCATCTCTTATAGCAATTGCACCCTTATGTTGTTGTGAACTTCTGTGTTTTTGACCTGTGAGATTCCGTCTACTGCATATGAATACTACGATACATGAAAGCTCCACATAAATTTAAATATTTACATCACATTTTTTTAACATTTCATTCTTTTTTGATGTACAAGAATGAAGGAATCTGTCCAGAGAAGTACAAGAATAGACGAGAAACGTCTCTAGCAATTGCTCTTCTTTCAGCAACATTTGCAACTTTGATGTGTTATCCCCTGGACACTGTTAGCAGCCAGATGCAGATGAAAGGCACACCACACAATACATTTTCTGATGCTATTCCAGGTAGTTATGCTAGCCTTGCATGAGCTAATGGCTGAACCCATTTTTAAGTCTGCTTCAATGCTATGCAGGCATTGTGGAGTGTGATGGTCTAGCCGATATCGCCGTAGCGTTAGCACGGGCAACATACCCCATTCTATTTTAAAAATTCCTTATTCTTAGCTGATTCCTCTGAACTCTATACCCCAGTCAGCAACACTCAAATTACTATTTTTAGTTTCTTGCAAGTGTTGATAGCATCTCAATGGATAGATGAGTAACATTTAGAGAGGGACATTTTGGTGTTAACAGTGCCCCTACATAACACAACAGATGCAGATGAAAGGCACACCACACAATACAATTTCTGATGCTATTCTAGGTAGTTATGCTAGCATTGCATGAGCTAATGGCTGAACCCATTTTTAAGTCTGTTTCAATGTTATGCAGGCATTGTGGAGTGTGATGGTCTAGCCGATATCGCCGTAGAGTTAGCACGGGCAACATACCCCATTCTATTTTAAAAAATCCTTATTCTTAGCTGATTCCTCTGAACTCTATACCCCAGTCAGCAACACTCAAATTACTATTTTTAGATTCTTGCAAGTGTTGATAGCATCTCAATGGATAGATGAGTAACATTTAGAGAGGGACATTTTGGTGTTTAACACCCCTACATAACACAATAGTTTTCCTTTCACACAGTTTCTTGATTGACTCTTCTTCTTTGTATTTTACTTTATCTCATCTTTAGGTAGAGCATGATGATTGTACTACAGCTTTTTCCAAGAGTCACACTATGATATCTTGAATCTATGCATATTCGTGCTACTTCAAGTTTGCAAAAGAACTGGGATTTGTGATGACACAGCCCCTATTATACTGTTCTAATTTGTTGTACTCTCGCATGCAGTTAATGTCCTCAATACACTCTTCACCAGTCTGAATTCTCCTAGCCAGGTTGGTAGGCGAATGGCGGTGATCCTTGTGGCCAGTCATGGCGGGCATTACTTGCTTAGGATCAGAGGTCACTAAAATGTGAGCCTTGTGATGCAGTATAGTTGTAGGCATCTAATATAATGCAGAGATCTCTCCTTTAATTCTCTTAGTGGTGATCTACCATAAAGTTTTAAGAAACATCGTCGTTTGGTGTTCTGATGTGTATCTTTGAATTGTCGCCGTGATGGCGTTAGCACGGGCACTATACTAGTTAGAATGACTGGTGAAAATCTTCATAGTGATCCCTGCCGACTTACCTTTGAAGTGAGTCAAGAGGTTGGCCGCCTCGGGCAATGGGCACTCACGACTCGTGGTGAAAGTGTACAACCTCTGCAGAGTGTAAAACTGGTATATCAGCCGTGCTCATAGACACGAGCGGCCTAGATCCTTTTCGAGATAGAAGGTTCTATGGATGGTTTGGGTGATGATTAATCTTGATGATAATTATTATACTTTCATCTTGGGAACTTAAGCATAACCTAGCAACATAGGTTTAATAAATAAAATATGACCAACTAAAAGTGCTCACCATAGTTCAGCCATGTCTAGCCTTTTGAGCCTTGCATCCCCTCATGTTATACTTGTTGAGTATGGTGCGCTCACACTTGCTTTACAATCAACAAAAAACCCGGATGGGTACCAGATGGTGGATTCAAGTGATGAGTTACAAGAGATGTTCCAAGAGTACTAGACAAGTGCTCCCCCAGTCAACTGTCCCTATGCAGTATGGAGTCCCGAAGAGAAGATTAAGAATAGTTTTCACTATGCTTTTGTAATAGTTGTAAGTCCAATTGTAAGTATGTTCGATATATAATAAAGCATTGTTCTTGATATTCTCCATATTTGTCGCTATATATGTCGTGTGGACATTCTGGGCACACATATAGTTAGCGCTTGGTATTCTTTGGAAAACCGAGTATGACAAAGATGCATCCTCAAAGGCGGTGGGAGACCGCCATACGAAGCTGGTAGATAGATGGGCCCAGGGGGGCCGGGTAGCCCGACAGTGGGGTCGGGCAGCCCCACATGTCATCCCCTCGCTCTCTGCTTCGGTGACGTGGATTTTGGACCCTTCTAGAGTCTTCCCACGTAGGTACCGCGGCGGAACTCCGTATTTTCCTTTGACGATTAGGTCCTCCTTGGCGATTTTCTGATTAAACCCTACTAGAAACACAGATTCACCAAAACTCATGGAATTTATTAGTTTAAACCCCTAAACCATCATTGATGATTATATTTATGCCCTTATACATATTTAATTGATAGTTTAAATTGGTTGTTAACTACCGTCAACAACTCTCCCAAGCTTACCTTTTGCTAGTCCCTTAGCAAAACTAAACTTAGCAAATGAATTAGGAGTGTTTAAAGGATTTTGAAAACATTGAAGCAACTCCTCAAAAGTACACATGTGTTCAAACAAGAATTATCCTCTGGTATTAGAATAAACTAATCTGACTTTCAAACTTACCCATATTACCTTTAACCATGGGGCTTGTGGCCTTCACTTGGGTCTTGAGCAATTGAAAGACAGAATGATCAAGTCAAGCACTATGTCTCAAGTTCTTTGCTCAACCATTATTATGGAGTTTTATAGGTTTTCAAAATAAAACTCAGAGATCTCCATTGTATGACACTCTCAAGTCTCTCGATATATGTGGTATTTGTGGATCCTCACTAAGGCAATAGTGATGTTATGCATTTCCCTTCCTATATCTAAGGATTATATGGATCTCATATGAGTGAAGAAAGCATAAAAGAGCATACTTACAATATATATTGTAAAGTCAAACCTCGGATCCAAAGAGAGTTGAGTCATACAATCAAATCAAGATGTGCATGTGTATGGATGTATGGTAGATATATATGGTGGCTAACCTAATTCTACTATGCTCCTTGAAAACATATCTCTCTTTTAAAACTTGGAACAACCTTGCAAGAAAACATGGGCTATCTTATTCATCTCACTTCTTTTTTTAGGCGAGCATCTAAATACCCATTGTTTTAAATATCTCGGACACTTGTCCATTTTTTCTAATCTCAACTTTTTTATGAATAACTTTTGCATAGCCCGATGCTTCTTTTCTGCAACAAAACTTTTGAGAGATAACAACAAGAACTTGGAGCATTTATTTGGTGGATATCCTATAGGGCATATTTTTTGTGTTTACTCCCAGTGTAGGAGTAAAACATTTTTTGGTGGATCTAAATGGAATTGCATGTTGTTGCGCCTACCTCCAGAGTAGGAGTAGTGCATATTTGGGTGGTGTGTACGTGATCTTGATTTTAAGAGCATGACAAACCTCTCATAAGGCATCAACAAAGATTGACTAAACTCAATGTAAAACAAGCTGCATATATGAGTGGAAGTTTTTTCTAATCTAAATATCATATATGGCTCTGGTAGGAATTCAAGCTTTGTCATACAGGAGTTCATCATGTAGAATTTTTGTGTTTTTCAAAAGATAAATCTCCAGAACTTTATTATTACTAGGAACAAGATAAACAACAGCTCAGACCTTCTCATATCATATCCATCAATTACCTAGACTTAGATCAAGTATATGCCACCCACGAGTTTCAAGTTCAGAGTAAATTCTTATATCAAAACAGTTGTATCCAAAACTTGGGAGAATTCAAGGCTAAAAACTAGGTACTTGAAAGGAATCTCGATAGAGGAACTAGTCATCATTTCCATTGAAAGAGATTATCCTCAGAGTTCTTTTATTTAACTTCTAAAAACAAAAAACTAGACACACTCTTTTATTTTGTTTTCAGAATTTAAGATCACACCTTATTATATATATAGCTAACATAAATTTTTATTTTGTTTTTGGTTATTATGCATCTTTTAATGACTTTAGCAAATATATAGAAAACTCAAAGATAGTAAAATCGAAAAGGGAAAGAAATACTTAGCTAGATACATGGGGGATGCTCCTCCCCCAAGCTAGATGTTGTTGTGGTCTTTCTTAAAATCTCTCTCATCCTTCCAAAAGTTGTTTTCCTCGTGCAACAGGTGCAACAGCAGTTCGGGAAAATGTACTTCGGATGAATGATTTTATTTCTGATCATCCTGCAAAATACTTTAACAAGAACACCAAAACTTGTGGCATAGATTAGGATAAGGGGTTAGCGGTCAGCCATTCAGAGATTTGTTGTCCTTGGAGGTTTAGATAGATTTCCTAAAGTTCTTAGCAGGATGTCTATTTAATATTTTTGGATTTTCTTATTTATATAATGCAGAAAGAAATATGTATGCATGTTTATTTTTATTTTTATGCCACCACGGTAAATATTCCTATGGGATTTTACACACCATAGATTTATTCACATGGGACCTAGGATTTATGATGCAATGATGTAATGCAGTAATGGAACTTTTTATTTTTCTTTTCTAAATGCAATGCTAATGCAGAAAAATAAATATGCTAAAGTGAAAAGTAATTCACGCAATGCTAAGAGAGTAAATATGGATAACTATCGATGTTACCTCACGACCAGGGTTTGGATTTTTAAGTCCTCTGGACAGGACTTTATTGGAAAAGAGTCCTTCACTTTTTGGGTGCATCATCTGGTCCCGGGGATGGAGATCCTGATGGTTACACCTCTAGTGACTCTGGTGACGATGTTACCATCTATTTCCATACCTGCTTGGTCTGTGGAGTTGACTTTGGCAAAGCGGGTTCATCTTTTACAACTCCTTCAGGTTCCTTACCTTCCTCCCATTCATTCTTTGGAGATTGATCCTTCTGGTTTTAGGATGATCTACATCTCCTCCTAGAGCGAGACTTCTTTGGCTGCTCATAAGTAGTGTAACTATTAAAATAATAGCATACCTTTTCTTTAGGGAATTGGAAGTGGACTTGTCCAGATCCGACGTAGATGATCGCGTTGGTGGTGTTGAGGAACGGTCTTCTAAGAATAATGGGTGTATCGTCTTCTTCTTCACCCATGTCTAGGACCATGAAGTCTACAGGGGCATAGTGATCATGTATTCTTACCATAATATATTTTGCTATCCCCTTCGAGAATCGGATTGATTGGTCTGTCATCTGTAATTGCATATATGTAGGGAACAAAGGTTCATCACCGAATAAATATTCATATGTTACCTTAGACATTATATTGACCCCCGATCCAATATCGTAGAAGGTCTTGTGGAAGATT